CGAATTGCACGAGGACCTGGGTTAACGATCGAAAATCACAGACGCCGTTCTATACGTCAAAATGTTGAAGATAAGGTGGGCCGAAAACGTGATGTGTATGAACGACAGCCGATGGACAGCAGCCATTAGCGACTGGATTCCTGGGGATGTCAAAATATTGCAGGAAGACCACCGACTGGTGGTGGTGAGGGTTCTTCACGAGAACCTTAGAAGAAAGGTATGATGTTCAACGAGTTCCTAGAGCGACCAGAGCAACTCTTGCACGCAACAAGGAAAAATGGAAGGAGCACGCTCAAGTCACTCGACGATCAGCGGGACTACAGGTGATACAGATCATACTTGGCAAAAGGACTGCTAAGAAATCGTTACGCTAACCTGTACCATTTCCAGTATTATTCATCTTCAATAGATTTTTGAACACATAGAGAGTGAATCATCAGTTCTTGAGGAAAAAATTGGACAGTATGGAGCTGTGGCTTGACCATCTGCAATCTTTTTCTCAATGATACGCCGGATTCTTGTCGTTGCACGAAAATCGCAAATGGTTCCAAGATCCGCAGAGCAGCCTTTCCACGTTTATATTTCGCTATTCACTCAAAAGCACCAATACCTGCTGTGCTGATTATTCCTGTTGTAGAAGAGGTCTCGGTGACACTCCTAAATCTATTCACTCGAGGTCAACTTTCACCTAGGAAGAAAAGCATATCCAGTGGCACCTATGAGTTTTATTTTCATCACCAATAAAAAGGAAGTTGTAAATCGGTGGGGAAGACTTCTAGCGTTTCCTCTAAGGGCTCGTCAAACACGATAATAAAAAATCTCTGAAGTCGTTTACCGACTTCAACATCACAATGATGACTTTTTATTTACTGCCTACTACATTTTTTCTCCCAGGGTATTGTGTGAAATACAACGGCTACGGTGCTGAGATATTTGCAAAACTGTGGACCGCACGCGTCCGGAGAAAACTGGCTGCGTGAAAGGTGAAAGGAAGAACCCGCATGGTGTGGTGGTAAAAGCGTTAGGCCCGAAAAGGGTACTAACGTGTTCGATACTTACCGCAGACTTCAATATCGTCCGAACACCTAAAACTATTTGAAAAATTTATGAAATTAGATGATGTCTCGCATGGCTTCATTAGTGCCGAGGCGAAACACCATAGTTTCGAAATCAGAAACGAGATTCGAAAGATAGCAACGTTCCAAAGAATTAACCAATATGTATATATATATATATACATATATATATATATGTACATAAACATACTACCATATACTTTATATATATATATATATATATACATACATACATACATAGACATACTACCGTATACTTGTCCAAATCAATCCATCCATAGATATTTTTATACCCAAATTGCAGAACACAATGGCAAATCGCTAATGGCCTTTGGGGACGTCGTCGATGAATTCAATAACCACTGATCATAACTGGACATATTCTTCTCGTATTGCTCGAGGATGGTAACACAAGTGATTGGGCAGATCAAGCAATCGTTGAGTAAGATGTCGTAAGCATAGCAAATGATTCGTTTTGGGTCATGGTGTTTTTTTTTACACAGCTAAATGTACGTTTACATAATAAATGACATGTCACTGTTTGAATAATTAATTTTTATGAGAAGTACGAGAACTCTCTTGAAAGTTCAAAACTCTTCATGAGCTTTAGTCCTGCGCACACATTAGGGGCTGTTGAAAATATGCTTCCCAGAAACGCCCTTTTTGTGTGTGAAGTGTGAGAGAAGAGATAGTGAACCAATGTATCTCGGCTAGTGGTACCGTTTGATGATGTAGTCATTTTCGGATAGGTCCATTCAAACACTCAAAAATAAAAGCCAGTTTCCTTTTCTCTTAATAGTATACCTCTTATAGAGAAACATCAAGATCAAAACACTGGAAAATTCGGGAATGTTGAAATCTCCTTTATTTCAGAACAAATCTCATCAAACTAAAAAAAGCCAAGATCGAACAGTGTTTCAACAGGTATCATGCAAAAGTGTTAAAGGCATCAAAAAGAGTAGTGATCAAAAAAATGGCTGATTGAAGCTTTCCAGAAGAATTCATCAGAAATCAACAAAAAACCACAAGACTACTTTTTGCAGTTTCCTTTTTCAAAACATCCCGTGCTTTTACCCATCAACCATTCCATGCAAAGCTCTCCGTGTCAGCCTGCTAGAAGGTTGTCCTATTTGAGTTTATCTTATAGGATTATGAGAGGATTAAAAGCGAAGCGTGTAATCGAACAAATAAATGAACCTCCACTTTTTAAAATCAACAGAAGAATTCACGACACAGTTCAAAAATATTATAAAGCGATATAAGGAAAGAATAGTACCCGAAAATTAGACAAGATCTTTCACCAACCAGAATTATTGTCATTTAAAGCGTTCACCTACCACGGTTAGTTTTAGCTGCTTTGTAACGACTTAACTACTCAGAGGTGTTCATCAACTCAATAAAATTGGGAGACCCGTGACAAACTAAGGAAAATTTGTGACATGGAAGACGACTAATCAAATAACCTTGAAGCCCTTTAAGGCAGTTGTTAAACAGAAAAATAATAGGCAAAAATTAAAATTAAATTTCCTACACTTTTGCTGCAATCTATCTTAGTCCTGCTAATTTTAACAAATGGCGTCAGACCTGCGGGAAGGCATAGGACTGCTACTGGTTCATAATTTTCACCATTTCCTGAAACGTCAAAAGCACGTTCAAACACAAAAATCATGACGTTCTAATCATGTGAAAACAGTTAACACATTCGCGATGATGGTCGTTTCTCAACAGTAGGCAATGATATCTCAAAAACCGACTTTCCTTTAACCTCGGTTTGAGTAAACACCATATATTTAAACTGTTCGGCTTACGCGAGGTTCCTACGAAATTCTTGTCCTGCTAACGTTTCGAAGTCTTCCTCTTCGCTCCTCATATCAACAAGAACCATCCTGTACAAAAGAGTATTGCCAGGTAGGGGTTGCCTCATTCGAGCGATGAACGCGCTCCGATTTTATATGACGACGAAGACATCACATCGAGAATATTACGAACTGTGGACATCGACTCGGATTATCGGATCTAAGGAAGACTAAAACGTCGAAATGTTAGAAAATTTTCATAACTACCTCGTGTAGGCTGGACAATTTCAACACATGCTGAATAGGCAATGAATCCTCCGTTAGCATAGTGAAGGAGTTGAGAGCTTCACATACGGATAGAAGATACTTTGCTCCGTCACATCAAAATTGTATATTACATTGCTCGCGAAAAATTTTATCCCATTTTTAAACTTTTTTGAGAACTGAAACTTTCAGAAGATCAAGCCAATATCTGAATTATTAAAAAATTTCGTTCAAAAGCAGCAGCAACAAGCAGCAACGATACTCTGTGGAATACCACCATTTCGCAATGGATAAAGTCTCACTTGTTCACCAATTACTGAGGAGTGTTCGAAAAACGATCTTTGACACAACAAATGAGAAAGCGCACTCCATGGACTGCAGAAAATCAAAATTCTAATCTGATAGCGCCAAGAAAAGCATTTAATAAAGTTTGACACGAGTTCAGGTACGTTGATTCAAAGTCGAAAGCAGACACTGTTTTCGCACCATATGCATTGAGTCCAATGTGCATCAACATGAATGTGTTAAAAATGCTACAAAGTGCAAGCAGTTGAACAACGTACTTCCCACATTTCATAACTAAGCGGCATTATAGTCTGATTTGTTTCAGAAGCCAGTTTATTGTCCACTTGCAGACTCTGCCGCTCCTCGTTCGAAACGTGCACTAAACCACACATTGTTCACCAAAAACGATGACAGCAAACAACTAACATTATCAAAAAGTGTACAACTTTGTGGGAAACTATGGAAGCTGGGAAAGTTGTAAAAAAGCATCCATAGTTGATCAATCCTTTGGAGGTGAAACAAACATTTGACTTCATTGAGCACCATAGAGGCCATTGAATGTATACTTGGCATACAGAATTACTTGAGGTAGCTTACGGATGTAACAAGTCAGCGTTCTTATCCTCCCAGAGAAGTATAATACCGATTCTCCGACACCGAAGTATGGCAAGGGTAGGTGGATTGAGCTATCGACTAGGCGAATTGCGAGGCACATTGCGCTACACGTATTTTAGTTTAGAAGCTACCAAACAGTTTTACGGCACTACTAGAGTTTTCCAACAATAAATACGATTTTACAGAAAGATACTGTAAAATTTGGTGTGCCAACCATGATGTAAAAGAGATACAAACATTAACCGACTCGAGGAACAAAACTGATCTTTCTACTCATTTAAATCAGCCTGCCTAATAAATATTTCTAGTGATTCTCAGTTCATTCATCTCTTACAGTATTAATTGAACAATATATTCTTCTATGAGCTTTATTGAGATGAATGCCACCTGAGAGCAAAATTATTTAGTGGAATAGATGGGACTGCTATTTTCACATATGTGAACGTTTTATATTTTAGTGGGGCTCGTATAACGCAGTGGCAGAGGTACATACACCAATACACACGTGGTCGCTGATTTGATACCACACCTCAGGATTACTAAGCCCTCAATCCATATAGCGTCTATAAATTGGTACTTTACTTATCTGGGAGGACAGCAGCGCTGACTAATTACATCTGTAGGCCAAAGCTATCAGTATAAGTCAAATATACTCGTTCACCTCTACGATGCTACAGATGGAGTCAAATGCATGAAACATCCTTAAAGGATTGAACAACACCGCGAACTTTATTCATCTTTTTTATATCACAGTATATAAGAACAGAATAAAATTGACCCACCCAACACGGGAAGCCCTGAATCGCCAACTGATAACCGCACTCGACCATCCTTGATGAGGAATGAAACGTAGAACATATTTTCAACCTACAAGCAGTAATTGCTAAGCATAGCAAACCTGCTGTTAACAAACAAATAGAAACATCCAAATACAAGAAGCTCAAATAAAAGATTGGCAGAAGCCTCAGAATTCAAATGAAGCTTGCATTACCGTTTTTCCAAAGTCCGTGGGATCCACCACAAATGAATAGAAATCGCTGGAAGGATTTTCTTCCCATGCTCTCTTCAGTCCTTTCCGTACCTTGTCCAACTTAATAAAACTTCTTGAAAATAACTATCGAAATCCAAACATTATATATAAAGTGAAAACTTAACAGAATTGCACAACAACACTGTTTTGGACACTCACTTAATGGCATCATATTAAAATGCACATCAAAAGAAACTGAATTACCTCTTCGGCCACAGAAAGTTCATCATCAATACATCCTAACTGCTTGTTTGTGAGCACAACAGCTTCCTCCTTAACATCTTTTTTCCTCTTTATTTGTTCCTTCTTAGAAACCACTTGAGAAGCTGCCTCTTGATCATTAGACACAACTGGTCGTCTAAACAAACAAAAAAGGATTAAGAAAATTACGTTGGAGAAACACTAAAAAAATACTGATTAAGAAGGTGTGGATAACTCACAATGACTGATAGTTAAATGATACATCGTACGTCAAGGTCCCGTAGTTCTGACGACAAAACCATGCCCATTGATCGAGGCTTATCTATGAAATACGTTGACAGATAAAAAACTTCAAAAGGTGCATAAAAGCATAACTAAACCTTCGGTGGAGTAAACGCTTTTCCTGGCTGGTCTGGATTGTTAGGTGTTTCGTAAGCTTCAGGAAGTGAACCCGTTCCATCAATTTCTGTGTCTTCTATTAGCAAAGGGTTGTCGTCAACTGAAGTGCATCGTGCTCTGCATTGTGGCTGTGAAGTCATGTGAAGAATCTGAATATTTGTGATGACATCGGAAACATAATGGAAATTCCAGCCAAGCACTACAACGTCTGTTTAACTTTAGCTTTGTGTTAAACATTGTAATGGTCTAAAAAAAGGTTGGAATCAAGAGGTCCAGCAGAGTTGATATCAAAGGCCTTTCTTCCTCAAGAAACAAGCACCTTACAATGTCAAATATTCATTGACCATTGGATGGAACCACGTTTAATTTTCTGCTGCGCGCGCTGTGAGCTGTATGTGATCCATACAGACCGTTGTGCATGCCTTCTCGATGGATGAGATACATACGTTCATACGATTATAAACGTGTTAAAACAGGTTTCTGCCATTTCATCTCCACAACAAAATTATTTTAGAGAGCTCGAATGTAAACTCCACTTTCGATGCAATTTTTAACGCCAACTTCAAAATTTCAAAGCGTCTAAACGAATTTGCTCTGCTTAACAACATGCAGAACAGCGTACTCAAACGTGCCCCTTCTATCTCACATGTGACCTAGTCATACAAGCTGACCGGACTTATAGAATACGAACAACACTACGAAACAAAAAAAGGATAAAGCTCTCAACGTTTATCAACCCTGAGAGATGCGCCATGTATTCGACTTCATTAAGCATCGCTGGAAGTGACTAAATGCACATTTGGCCTTTACAATGACTCGCGATGGGCTATCGATGTTTCGATCCAGTGCTGCTATCCTCCCAAACAAGCCTGGCACCAATTTTCCGACCTTAGACAGAAGTGGACAGAAGGCTTAGAGAGTCTGGGATGCAGTGGGCGATCCCATGTGTATTGCAGGGCACCTCCGACTACTGCGCTACACGCACGCTATTAAATAGCTCAAGATTTTTTCTGAAAGGTACAAATGGAACTAACCAGTGCACTAGCGAAACTCTCTGGAGTGACAACCCTCTCGGCATTCGCATTTTGAAGTGACTGTATTTGGGTCTTTAAGGTTTTTGCCATAGACAACAACGTTTCGGCGTCTGCAGCAAGTTCTTTGCCTCCAGCTCCAATCTGCAATGTCTACTAATGTACTTTGTAACTGACAACCAAGGTAGAGACGAATGTAGAAACCTCACATTCTGAAAGGAGCGATCAACATCATCGAGTGACTTCTTGAGATTTTCAATCACCAGCGAACTGTCTTCCTTATCAACTTCAGGTTCTCCTAAAGTTTATAACAGCTGATGAGCCTTAAAAGTATAACGGAACTATCTATGAAAGCTGACATGTGGATGCAATATGGATGTCGGATATTCCCAAGGAAATGTTTTAAGACGATACCCTAAGTAGGGACAAGACCGAAGTGATAGATACCTTCGAATTGACTGCATATATCCTGATAAGCTTCACGAAGAGATGCACGTTTGGCAAAGTATTCAGATGGCTCAGCGTTGTTAACAATCGAATTGAGGTAATTGGCCTCTTCTATCTTGAAAAATCTTTTGTTATCATGTCTTGACAACTAGTTTACTTCAATGATAAGAAATTAAGGAGTTATGATGGGGGATAGGGGTCAGCAAGAGGCAGTCAGCAAAGCAGACCTAACAGCGCTAATAGAGCTAGTTAGGTTATCTTTTATTGTTCCATTCATAACTATAACACGGGGATCGGTGAAGAAACATGTAGTTCCTACACTTTAAAATGAAGGTACTCACATTTAGACTTTAGACTTACTTCACAAATCTTTTCAAGTTTAGACTTACTTTACACGTACTTTAGAGTTTAGTTCTTCAGAGTTGTCTCGTTAAAAACGTATAACTAAATGTTACTCATATTTATACCTAGGCATAAGCCTAGAAGCCTAAATCTAAGCCTAAGCCTAAGCCCATACTTAGCTCTACATTCCTTCAGAAATGTGTCGCCCTCCATTTCGCTAAATCCATAAATCGCTTTAAATTTTGAAAATAATCATGAATAAGTAAGTACTGCACGAATAATCTAATTGTATTTCCGTTCAAAACCATCTGAGCTTTCGAACCTTTGGCAGATTACATTTGCAAGAACATGAACCTCTAAACCTAAGATCGAGATCCTCGAGAAAGCCTTAATACAAAAGAATCAAGAAAACCTGTTTTCTAGTGAGACCATCCTCTTGTACCACGTCCTCTTCATCCAGATTTTCATTTTCATGGGCACGATTGCTGTTTCTTAGCGGACGATGCATGTACCCCAAGTCCTGAATAGATTATTTCCTGAGCACAGGTGACTGTCGTGTATCAGTACCTTGGTATTGTCGATGTTAGCAAAGATGAGAGCAGCGAAACCCTACAAATCGCGAAAACCAAGAGCTCAGCATCCCGGTCTTGAAAAACCGACTCGACGTCGCGCTGCGGCGAACGCGACCCATTCGCGCACTTTATTCCCTACTCGGCGGGAAATTCAAATTTCCTAGAAAGTGTGGCGTTTACTGGCTTGAAAGGTTATTTCTTTCAAAATTCTTCTTGCTGAAGGCAAATCCTAGCTTCTCTTCGTAGGGAAAACAACTACAGTATTGATTTTTTTTTTACTTTTCAGTCCATAGTCCGTCCATTTCCTGCATTAAAGAACGATTTTCATTTCATTATTTCGTGACATCTACTCTTCTTCTCCTTAGAAATTACCTTTATTTGACCATTTCCTTCTGCTACAGACCTTTGTGGGTGGTTTTTGTTTAATACTAGGCGTTGAATCTATTATTTGAGTAAGAAGTGCTAAACTGCCCTTAGTGATGTTTTCACTTTTTTCATTGAGATCACTTTCCATTTCCGTGATGTTCCCTTATGCCATTTCCTCTTCCTGACCCTTTTCCTTGCTTTTCTATTCTGTTTCATCCTAAAACATAATCGTATTTATTACTAATATGAATTTTTTAAGAGTCGTGAGAAGCATTTGCCTTGTCACTTCAAAAGAGTGCTAATCAAAATACAACCACAACGTTGCTGAGATATTTGCAAAACTCTGGACCGCAGGTGTCTATGGTGGGGAACGAACGCGCTATTGTCCTTACCGGGGAGTAGCGCGTTCACCACCACACCATGCGGATCCTTTGTTTCGCCTGTCTCTCAGCTATTTCTTTGCTAATCAAAATGTATTTTTTTTCTGTAAGCATGCATATTGACTAGTGATACCGAGGTTAAAGGAAAGTCGGTTTTGAAAGACAGTGTCAATCAGTTCATCGAATTATCCCTAATGTTTCTGTGGATTTATGTTTAGCGAGTTTTCGATGACGACTGCTTTCAATTTTCCCGATCTGGATATCTCTCCCGTTTGCTTCGAAAGTGGAGGCGATATTGATGAACGAGAACACCGAACAGTTGATGGAAGAAATCCTTCATTGGTGAGTACGTAACATACTCTATTCTCTTTTCATGGCCCGTCCTCACTAGTTTTGTGGACCTCAGAATAATTTACTCTCTTTACTCTCTTTTCATGGCCCGTCCTCACTAGTTGTGCCGGCTCCACAATGGTTTCCGTTTTATGGGGGTTTTTCTGGATTAGCCATCGTGATTCCCTGGAGTCCGTGAGTCAGCCAGGTCAGTGTCTGCACCAGGTCGTCACCACCACGAGCAGTCTCCGTCCTTGTGGAACAGAAGGATATTTGCCATCATGCGACTAGTTTGGTACCAAGACGGTGGTGGGTTATGGTTTTGGTTTAGTCTTATCTGGGTTTCGTGATGGGAACGTCGAAATCCTTTTGAGCTTGGGAGACCATGAGGTGGGATGAAGGCCAGCTATAATGAGGCGGTGGACCGTTGGAAGGTCGTATCACAGTGCTTTTGTTTCTTATCCACCAATGTAATAAACATTTTCAGCTCATAGCGGCCTTTACGCCTTTATTTTTAAAATTATTTTATGTAAAAAGTTTTTATCTTTTTGCGGAGTGGATTTTCTTTACAGAATGACGACGCTCTTCATGCAGTCTTAGGGGGTTTGTCCATTTCTGACTATGATAGTGGCAGAAGTCTGTATGACTTCACACATGGTCGAAATTTTGCAGGTAGGTGTTGGTTGGAAAAATTTTTTCTTAATTGGAAACATTGACTCTAAAAGGCTTCTTGTGCCTGATGAATCATCCTTAGGTACTGTCCAGGGCAATATCGATTTTAATATCCTAATGCCAAGGGTCCGTATAGTACAGTGGTCGGAGGCGCCCTGCAATAAACTTGGAGTCGATCTCTGCGACGCAGACTCACCAAGCCTTCCATCACTCTAGGGTCGCAAATTGATGCTAGCCTTCTCTGAGAGGATAGCAGCACTGGCTCCATCAATCGATAGGTCACCATGGGTTATTATGAAGGCCAGATATGCATTCAGTAACCTCCAGCGATGCCCAGTGAAATCGAATGCATGGGGCATCCCTCAGGGATGGATCAACGCCGACAGTTCTATCCTTTATACTTTATACCTTGCTGCTAAATTCTGTCAAATCTATACGTTTTAGTATTATTTCAGGTTGACATATAAAAGTCAGGTGTTTAGAGACATTTCCATAAACCCCTTTTTTGGGTCCAGTTGTCCTGTTTTCTTATGCATACTTCATATCTCTTATAACTTTATTATGAGTTTTGAGTGCTATTTCTGCGTGGTATTTCCTAAAATTGGATTTCCGTGTTTTCCTAAGTTTATGTTGAATAAAGTAAGTTCGTTTTCAGGTTTTGAAGACGAAGAGCCCTCCAAAGAGGGCCATCCATTTCCACATCGGAGTTCTCAACTAAATGGGAAGTCTACGGGTGCAGATCGTTGTTATCCTACAGAAACTGGAGATTCCTTTAATACTTCATCTGAAGAAGTCTTCGCCGCTATGGAATGTGAGATGAGGCAATGGCTAAGTTCTGTAGTCGAATCCTGTGGTATCACGGGCAACTTGCGTGACTCCTTCAGTAATATTCTCAGTGGTTTGTTATTTTTCGCTGTTTCGTCTCCACATAGCACTCCTCGAATTAGTAGCTTTAGGCTGTCGAGTAACGGTAGAGATGGGATGCTGCAAAGAGTCCGCTAAAGACGTGCGATCACGTCTTCGTCGTATGGGAGCCGTTGTTTCACGGCGTTTAATGGGCACGACGACTCATGTAGTTTATTCCTTTGGCGGGAAACCGGCTGTTTTGAAACGTATATTTGCTCAGACGAAGAGACCTTTCCTTGTAGATCCACACTGGGTATATGAGTGAGTTTTTCCTGGCCTACCCAGTAGTTCTAGTATTAAATAATTAACAAAAGTGATTTGAATTCCATTATTCTTGCAGATATAAAGAGGCGTTAATAGAGTCATTAGAGTGGTGCTATGCATTTTTCGGTCCAATTTGGCAGTTTTTTTAAAAAGTTTTACACGTTTTAACTTTATTTACTGCCTACTGTTTCACAATCTCACGAAATACTCTACCATTAAAAACAGTAGGCAGTAAAGAAAAAGTGACCACATTGTGATTTATACCACAGTTACAGCTTAACTGAGTTCAATGTCGATTTGACCTTTCCGGGGGTAACGCCTTCACCACCACACCATGTGGCTCCTTCGTTTCGCCTTTTTCTCAGCCGTGTTTTAGCCAGTAGGATGTCATTAGCTATCACCCGTCGACGGGATTGATCCGGGGAAATCTTAACCATTTTATTTACTGCCTACTCTTTTTAATGGCAAGGTATATTGCGAAATATAACTTCAATGATGCTGAGATATTTGCAAAACTCCGGACCGTAGGTGTCTGCGGTGGGGAACGAACGCCCTACTGTCCTTTCCGAGGAGTAACGCGTTCACCACCACACCATGCGGCTCCTTCGTTTCGCCTTTTTCTCAACTAGTTCTATCGATCTTTCCCCGTCAGCAATCACTTACTCCCCTGAAAGGTCAAAAGGGCGTTCGTTCCCCACCGGAGACACCTACGGTCCGGAGTTTTGCCAATATCTCAGCATCATTGAAGTTATCCCGACATCACTATTTTTACACGTTTTGTTCTGTCGTGTCATTGTCTACTTCTACGACTTTCCTCTTACTTCAAGGTGCTTCAAATCACGCAGACGGGTATCTGAGGAACAGTTTTCGCTCTACGAATGCCGTTATTTGTTAAACGTTCTTCGTCAAAACATAGTGTGTGCTGTTCGGCTTTTTCATTTTCTTGTTGTTTGGTATCTCCAAGAATTGTTCTGAATATTGGTTGTACCCCATATTTGTATAGGATGAGCAGAACGCCTCTCATTGCCGGGTTATTCCTCATTTTGAGAATTCCGATGTGCATACCTCTGCATCTATTTCATTTGCTAACGAAGGTCAACTACCTTGTCGGAGAGTGTCAGAGGTAGGAGAGTTTTCGTTTTCTTCTGAGGTCATTTACAAGCATGTACTCAGTTTTTAATTTGTTAAGCATAGTAAATGAGATTGCTTCTTATATCTTTTTGCTGTTCGGTAGGGCGAATTTGGGGTGAGATGGGACCATTACGCTTCACAGTGTCTTCGTGAAGTGAAAACAGTATACGTTGCAGTCTTTGCTTCACTCGTCGGTTTTTATAGCGCTAGCTTATGCGGCATATTCCAGAGGCGTTAACTTTAATGATTGTTGGTTGCCTGATATCAATGTATTCGTTATTGTTGAAACAATTGGGACTGTACTGTTTTATCGATAACCACTGGAAATTTTTCGATTACTGCAGTAATTGAAGAGTTACAGACTTACAGAAAAGATTTTGATTTTTTCCTTCAAGAGCGTGCTACTTTGCATAAACATGTGTTCAACTTTAGAGTCCTCTACAAAACTTGTTTTGGAGTTTCTTAAACACCGACTTTCATTGAGTACCTCGGTAACAAAAGTCAATAATTTTGTGCATGACTGAGCTTAGACAGGGTTGGTATAAAACTTTTATTCGGCTAACATTTCGGTGCCTTCTCTTTCTTCAGAGCCACATTGATTCGAGTCGATGGTGCACAGTTGATCGTTGTCGCTTCACCCGGCAATTCTCTTTTGTAGGGACAGGTATTGGTCTTTCCCCCATGAAGATGGATCTCCAATCTGGTGGGCAATGCGTCTTGTAGGAGATGACAAGCAACCATAACGCGGCAACGAGTAACAGTGGACCACAGACTAGGATCAACGTGACCCTGAGGAAGGCGAAGCTCTTGTCAGCTCAATCATCGAGGGAATTATTGTTTTGGTATCTCAATGGTGCTGAGATATTCCTAATACTCCGGATCGTCGGTGTCTGTGGTGGGGAATGAAAGCGCTATTGTCCTTTCCGGGGAGTAACGCGTTCACCACCACACCATGCGGCTCCTTCGTTTCGCCTGTCTCTCGGCTAGTTTTATCGATCTCTGCCGTTAGCAATCACCCGTCAGCGGGATTGATCTGGGGAGCCCAAATCGGCAATGAACCTAGTTAGGTTGAGACTTTAGTTATAACCACAATCTTAACCGTTTTATTTACTGCCTACTCTTTTTTAAGCTGACGGCAGAGATCGACAGAACTAGCTGAGAGAGGCGAAACAAAGGACCTGCATGGTGTGGTGGTGAACGCGTTACTCCCCAGAAAGGACAATAACGCGTTCGTTCCCCATCGTAGACACCTGTGGTCCGGAGTATTAGGAATATCTCAGCACCATTGAGATACCAAAACAATAATTCCCTCGATGATTGAGCTGACAAGAGCATCATTGAAGTTATATTTCGCAATATACCCTGCCATAAAAAAAAGTAGGCAGTAAATAAAACAGTTAAGATTGTTTTGGAATTGTTTGAAAACCGGCAGTGAAGTTTTTGAAATTCCTAACACACACAGCAGTCGTGCATTCTGTAGCCCCGTCGTTCTCCGGCTTCTCCTATAGCTTAGGCGCTCGCTCTGTACGAAATTCAACGATAAAAAAGAGGAAAGATAGGTTTGATGAGCATCTCAAGGCGGTGATAAGTGATTCAGCGGTTTTGCAGATTCTACCGGTTTTAGCTTCAATTAATAATCTTCACTAAGAAATGAAAATGTTGGCATAGAAAAGGTAGCAAGCAGCATTTTCGCTATATAGTAAGGAATTATGGATAAACCATATAGCACTGATCAACGCTTGAGACATAAGGGGAGGAGTTGTCACTCATTCGATTTTATCAAGCACCACAACGGTGATTGAATGCGTATCTGCTCTACACAATGAATGGCAGTGGTCTACTGGTGCATAACGTCACTGTTTTTATCCTCTACGACAAGTTTGATACTAATTCGTCGGGACAGTGGTTAAAAGACAGTGTTCGCAGACGCGAGATAAAGCCAATAGACGGTTGAGTCTGTATTGCAGGGAATTCATAACCAATGTACTACAAACATCCTTTTAGAACAGTATGAATCATAAGACTGAAAGCGAGCGTTATTTGCTCTCTGTATGAGTAACATGCCTCGCAACAGTTCAGTGCCTCATCGTGGCTGGAAAGTGTTCCTGGGTGTCGGACTGCTATGTACAGCGGGTGACTCATTCCCCGGCAGGGTCTCCCAAGCTGAGAAGGAGTCCGGCGTTTCCATCAGGAAGCCTAGCTAAGAGTAAACCAATACCAGGATCCACCACCGTGCTGGTATCAAACTAATGGTGTGGTGGCAGATCTCCCTCTGATCCACAAGGGAGGCGACAGCCTGTGGCGGTGACGACATGGGGCAGATTTGGCTAGGCTGAGCTCAGAGCTCCAAAGAACCATAATGGCGAGACGAGCAAAAATCCGAAAAAGTGGAGATTATGCCGAGGCCCACACAACCAGTGGGGACGGGCTAGCCAAGTATCCAAGGAAGTAGGTGTGTATCACATGTGATAAATATCGTTGCTTATATGTTGCGATACATCGTTATTTAAAATTGGGGCAATTGTTTACAAACCCGCATTGAAAAGTTGCTTTTTTTCGGATATGGAGGTAACGTTCGATAGGACAATGTCTGCTTCCGAGCTTCTATTCAAAATAGATCTCTTATCAAAACGTTTGGATAGGATTGTTGGTTGGTTCTTTCACTTCTCTGTATTTTACTTCTAACTGTACATTCATTCTCCAGGCATTCCCAAGTGTGTGCTAGGAAGTCGTTGTCCCAGCGCTTTGAAAGGTGAAACCATGGAAAAGTTCGACTTCCTCTTTTGTGTTCTGTTCACTTGTTTTAATAAATTAAGAACTAAAATTTGAGGAGATGGTCGGTCGATTGCTGCTAATCACTACGGTCTCAACAAAGATTCTCGGAAGGTGTTTTAAAAGAATTCACTCTTAAAATTTTGACGTTTAGAACTAGATACGTATTTTGATGTTTTTTAAGGGTTCAATGACCATTGGAATTATGCGAAGACGTACTCATTCTGCGTTTCCACTGGAGTATCGTGAGCCATTATGTGGTGCTGTTCTATGGGCTCGGAAGCTGAAGGGTCAGAAGTTATTACCAACATTGGCAAATTAGGAATATCGAAGTTTTGGTCATATGAAGTGATTCATTTCTTTTTAGACGAACAAGATGCAATTTGTGGTCGTACAAGGCGTTACAATTTTACTGATGTGCATTCTGGTAAAGAGAATGAAGGTCATTGTAAACTTATGATTTGTGTGTTTGTATTATTACCTTTACTTACTTACTACGATACTTAGATGGCGCATCCTCACCGATTGTGCGGGCATCAGCATAATATTCTCATTTTTTTGGAGTTTCGCTGGCTTATCCGTTGTATTTTCCTGAAGTCCGGAGGTTATCCTAGCTAAATTGTGCCCCAGTTCGTCGCCACCACAGACCGTTGTCGCCTTTTTGGATCGGAGAGGAATTTACCACCATGCGACTGGTCTAATACTAGGATGGTAGTGAATCCCGGTATTGGTATTGGTTTACTTTTAGTTAGGTTTTCTGATGGAAACGCCGAACTCCTCAGCTTGGGAGACCGTGCTGTAGGGATAAATCCCATCGCTGTACATCGCAGCCCGACACTCAGGAACACCTCCCAGCACAACGATGACGGAGTAAATCGTTGGGACGATTATTTACTTTTATCACTTAAAATCCCGTTAGTAATTGAATAGTTGGCAATTTTCATTCGTCCTTAACACACGTAAAGGATACTCACTTTTTCTTTGCTTTCGGACTGACAAAAAGGGTGTGGCGCTTTTTGTTTCAGGATTTTTTGTACTTACTTTTACTAGTAAGAGCATAGCTACGGATGGCTTATTTGGCATAAGCTTATCCTTAGCAAGATTTCTAAGTGAACGTGGCCCTTCTTGGCGAGGGGATCCTAGTGGTGGATGACTTCTGTCCTTCCCTCTTTCACCGGAGTACGATGGGAAGGGCTGTGTGTCATTAGGTGTATTACTAATTGACATCTTTGATTGAGATGTTTGTTTGGTTTGTTTGATAGAGACCATTTTAACAATATCATATCAAAGTGCAAAATTATGTTCTTTTGGGATAATTGATTAGCAGTAAATTACTCGGTATTCATTTTATCTTGCAGATTTGGCCCCAATCCGTTCTAACAATTTAGCTGCTCGTCCGATAAAAGTTCTCCAGGTGAGTGGTAACAGGGTGTTGCGTATTTTTGAAACTGGACATGTCAGATAACACTTTATGTTTCCATGTTCCCAGTTTAAAAAGTGGTTTAAAATCAGAATAATTATTAGGTTAGGAGTTCGTGTAGCACAGTGGTCGGAGGTGTCCTGCTGTACACACGGTATCGTTTCCACCCCTCACGCTCACCAAGCCTTTGGTCCCTCCGGCGTGGGCAAATTGGTACCAGACTTTTCTGGGAGTTTAATAGCACTAGCTCGACACATCCGTAGGCCACTGCGAGTCATTGTAAAGGCCAGATATTCATTCAGTTACCTCCAAATGATGCTTAGTGAGATCCATGCATGACGCATCTCTGCGTGATTGATCAACGCCAAGAGCTTTATCGTCTATTTTTTATTAGATTGTCTTCCTTTAAGGCCACTTCTATGATGTTCGTTAATCTCTTAGTGTAGTCTTGTGTTTCTTATAGGTTTGCTTAAAGGCTCAATATTTCTTTGGACAAGTCACTGGTTTGACCCTTATAAAACATTTATTGTCAGCGAATACAATCAAGCTTGTAGAATGGCGTGTTGCGATCTATAGGTTGAATTCAAGGCAGTATGCCTCTTTTCTTCCTTTTTATCTTTTTTTTCTGTTGCTTTTCTAACTTTATCCAGTGTGAATGGAAAGACTGTCAACGTACGAAGTTACCTTTTGACCTCAAATCCATTGAGATTCAGAAATTTCTCCGTGTTTCTTGGTGCCTTGAAAAAATGTTCTTTTTTCTTTCGAGGGGGTGGAGCCTAATGTGGAGGGTTTGCGACAACCTGTTGAAATACGAGTTTCCCAAAGGCCCCGCAAATCTGTGGAGGACAATTCTGAGATGGACGATCTTCTTGGATTTCGAACTCCACCTCATGGCTTGTTTTGTTTTTCATTGTCATTCATTTTCTATGTGGAATCTTCTATCATAATTCTATGATCATAGCTATATTAAGGAGGTGTGTATGGTCCACTTGTTAAAACTTCATCTTCATTGATAAATAATTTACAACTAGAATCCAGCTCGGAGGATTTTATTAATAAGCAACGTCCATGTGCTGTTAGCAGAAGTCAAGATGGAGTTGTGTTCACTGGTTTTCCTAAACGGTACGGTATAGTTTTTTTGTGAAATTCTAGCAAAATATCTGGCTACGCTCATGTTTTAGAGTTCTAGGAAAGAGAAAGAACTGCATGCTGACGTCAGGGGTTTGGGTTTAAGGGTCCAGAAAACGATTAACAAGCGGACCCACTGCGTCATAAGTGCTAACGGAGAGCGCACTCTGAATGTAATGCGTGCCGTGATTCTTAGAATACCTGTAATAACGGCTAATTGGGTAGTTGTTACTGGATAGCTCAGCTCGTGTGCGTTTGGCTATGTACTTTTACAATTCAGATAGAGATGTGCCTCGAGCAGAATAGGTTTTTGCCGTTTGATAAGTTCTATTATGAACAGTGGCAGGAATTGATCCAAGTATGTTCTGCATTCATTTCTTTATCAGTAAGAAGAGCAGAAGATAAAACTCTCGGTGTTGACCTATACCTGGGGGATGAGCCATGCATTCATTAAGCATCACTAGAGGGGACTGAATGCATATCTCGCCTTTATAATGACTTGCCGTGGGCTACCACTCTATCAAGTCAACGATGGTATCTTCCTAGACAACTCTGACACCAAATCGCTAACCCCGGGCAGGTGGGGCGCGTGTAGCGTAGTGGTTGGAGACACTAATACATATGGGATCGATCATCACGTCCTAGGCCCACCAAGCCGTCCATCCCTCCGGGATCGGGGAATTGGTGCCAGACTTGTTTAGGAGGATGACAGCACCGGATCGATACATCGGTTGGCCACCGCGAGTTATTGTGAAGGCCAGATATGCATTCTATCAGCTCCAAACGATGCTTGATGAAGTCGAATGCACGGCGCATCCTCCAATGAGAGATCAACGCCATGAGTATCCTTCTATCTTTATCAATAGGAACCATAATTGTGCATTTTACATTGCTTGTCATATCAGTATTTCTCTTCTGTATGTGTACGACCATATTCATCCAAGGTATTTTATAACGTGCAGTGGTGAAATTTAGAAACGGGTGCAGGACCAGCGTTTATTTTCAAGCCTTGGAGAGATTTTTATATGTGAAAGATGCTCCCCTTCTCCACGTGACATGAAATGGCTGGTCGAAAACAGCGGTGGACAGGTACGTTGATTTTTAATTGCCATAGAAGAGTATGGTTGGTTTCCAAGCTCCTCTTTCAAATTGTTTAGTTGCTTAATTATGTGGTCTTCTGCAATAGGTATTTAGTCTGCTCAGTTTTTTAAATGTAGGGGTTTTTCTTCGAAGAATCTTTGGGATTGGGAATGAACATTAAAAGCTGCTCACGAAGTGGACTAAGTATGATTGTTTTGTATTCGTGCTAAATGTTCTGTTTGCTCCAAATATCGATGAAGTTTTCTACAAACTTCTCCTCTACTCCCCACTTCTCTGCGAAGTGCCTGTGTCTTATTTAATTTACAGAGAAATCTTTAAAGGTCGGTTAAACCATGTTTAGCTGGCGGAGAGCACAGTGGTAGTGATGTCCGTCATCACGAGCATGTTGCTAGTTCGATTCCGCTCCGTGCCATCCAAGCCTCTCTTCCCTTCAGGGTCGGGAAATTGGTGCCGAACTTGTGCGAGAAAAAAAAAATCACGCTGTGCAGTCCAGTTGGGAACGCTGTAGCCCGGCTATCTCAAGACTAGGGAATGGAAACCCTCAAGCAGCAACCGAAGCCACACTTAAAAGTTGGAAGATCTTGCTGGACAGTGGATGCGAGCGAACGAATCGAATGTGAGAAGTGCTGGGATCAGCACAGTAGACGTGAAGACGGGTCATATAAAACGAACCATTTTTTAAGAAACGGTCAGGAGTATGCTTTAGTTTTCTTCTTTTCCAGATTTCAACAGATCCTTCTCATTGTTCCCTTGTTGTGGCTCCACGTCAACATTCATTGGAAATACTTTGTTCCGAAGACATGGAAGTCCATCCCCCTGTCGTAATAGAAAAATATATATTAGGTTAGGTTGCAGTTTCTCGTTCCTATCCCTATTTATGTTTACTTCGTTTAAAAGGTTCGAATTAAGTTTTTATCCCTTCCAGATTGCATTACTGAGAACACCGTGCTCGAGTTTGAAGACTACATGGAACATGAAGTGGTTGACGAACTTCACTGACGACTGCCCTTGGTTGTCATTTGTTTTTGGTACCGGATTTCTGGAAGTTTCGTTCTCATCCACTGTTTTGCTGGATGTTCTTTTTTAACACCTTTTCTAACTAGTGTTTTCATCCAGTCGTAAAGGCTTTCAATTCGTGTTTTTTTTGAAACTCCCATTTGCGTTCCATTAGAGTTTCATCCGTTTTTTGTTATTAGTCACTAGACTAAGCTTTTTATTCCACTGTATCTCACGAGGTATCTAATGGGTGAAGCCGGATCATCGTATTTTTTTGGCCGCAAACAGCATGTTTTTATTCGTAATTGTACCAAACCATGCTTGCTTAACTTCGAGGTGAATTTAGTCACTATCCTCACTAAATTGGTAAATTGTTGGTAATATAGCGTCATTCATCGTATTTTGTTAATAAACGTCGTAATCGTGCTGTCCGGTTCCAAAGTGCGAGCTTCCTTTAAGCGTGACGTTATCCGAGAATCCTAGCTGTCAGCTCATGTCCAGAAAATTGTTATTATTAACCGTAGTTGACTAGCAGATCTTTCTATAATTCTATATATAATTTCTATATGAAGCAGTATGATTAGATTACGTACTAGAAGAGTACAACTACGAGAATATCAATAGAAACCTTGTGGATTTTACGTTTTGTACTCTCTTGCAATTCATGAAAGTAAGCTTTCACCGGGACGAGTATTGAGAGCTGCTTTGTTCATTCATTAACACGTCTCTGTTACGGAGAATACCATTCTCATTTCGGTCTGATCGGATAAGTTTCTTTACGATTCTTCTAGTTACCATTTTGCAAGTCGCGGTGGGTTTTTTGAGGTTGTTTTTTATGGTTTTGGAGAGACTTTTTTGGGAATCACAATCACTGTGCTTTCCAAAGTGGTTGCCAGTTATCTTAGTATCCAGTAAGACTATGTTCAACAAGAGTTGCAAGTCTACTAGTTTTTCCAATATTCTGGTTAGGATTTCATAGCTAGAATTCTCGCTGTTCTACAACGACGATATTGCGAGGAGGGATTCGCTGACAAGGCGAGACCATCTCTTCGAAATTATTTAGAAAGTCGAGGTTTTCAAGCTAAAAACAGTAAAAATGGAAGTTGTTTGTCGGTAGCCACATCATCTACATCTAGATGGTGAAATTATCCCCACTTCGAGCGGTAATCACATGGAACGAATGTTAACTAATTTTGACATCTCGGTTGTGAACAACTTGACTAAAGTGTTGAGCAGGAAGTAACACGTAGTTTCAAGAGCGTAGAAGAGCACTAATGAAGCGACGAAGGTATAGGGAATTCGACATTTGGTCTATTATTGCTTTTTATAGGCATTTCGAATATCTGGAAGCTACTTTAAGTGAGATGGAAATGTTGTGAACGATGTTTGACGTGTTAGGAAGACAGCACATAAAGCTTCTCATTCCACATAGGTTATGGAGTAAATCAGAAACTTGTGATCGTTGACTGTAGTAAATGGCTCAGGGAATGCTGCCATAGTTACCAAGATGTCGATCAACAGGTGATCGTACATGTCATGCTTGTGGTCGGTAGACCAGGGACCGTCAAAATCCTGGTCTCAGAGGATGTCGAGCGTATGACTGGATCACCGCTAGTGGTCAGGCTTCGCAAGGTCCTTCAGGATCAACTGTGATAGTTCCCATGTCCCTCAATGCATCGAATCTAATACATAACCATAACGACACGAACAAGTGGGAACAGTAACATGACTTCAGTTCGATTCATTGGATTGCCAATAAAGGGGTGGTACGTGGGTGGATCCAATGTTCTGCAAAGTACTAGAATCCTGGTTATTTAAGCATATTATAAAACTAATGGTGTAGTCTTAGTGGCAGAAAAAGAACCCTACAGCGTGCATAGTGTTGTGACTTTGCACCAGTGCATGGACTACTTGAGTTTTTAAGCGTATAAGTACTCACTAAGAGAGTAAAGTTACTTATCAACGTCATATTGCGATCCAGACAACTATGTGCAGTTGCAGGTTGGCAAATTACTAGATGTCCCTGCTGCGTCCAATCGCCTGCTCTATTCTGCTGATAGGAGGCTGTTCGGAGAGAGAAGAAAGCGGTTGTTTACGATCTATAGAAGAAGTATCACTTAGTCGTACTCCTACTGGTGTTAATGTTGTTTCGCAAGTAGTTGGCCAACTACAAGAAGCTAGACGCAGTCCCTCTGTTTTCCGTGAACGGAATGGTTTTGTTGTGCTTGGAGGTGAGGTTGAGTTTCGTTCAGTTCTTCGTCTTTTCGAGGTTATTCTTCTATCATGTTAAATTTCAAGCTTTACCCAAGTCTTCTAGTTCTTAAAATATGAAAGCTCGAGAGGTTTATATGGAGGTTAAGGCCCCTGGTGTGTGGTCCAAAGTGTTCCGATTAGATGCACTCGTAGTATTACCTATTTCGCATCTAACTAAACCGGTTTTCATCTAAGTGATTTTTATTTCCGATATTTCCGGCGTGAATTAAAAGTACTGGATTGTTTTGGGCGTCAGTAAGACTTAACACATCACAGTCGATGTGGATCGTTGTTCCCTTTGATCATGATGTAGCTACGCCACAGCATTTTCATGTTTTCTTAAAGTTACACGGATTTTGAAACTGCTCAAGTGGTACTAGTTAACTGGTAGTAGTTTTTCTCAGTTCAGTGCTATCTGATTAGTTATCTTTTATCTCAGCTTTCCTCCCAACAGTTTACCGCCACATCATGACTTGCTGCTATGTAAAGCAAGTAAATTCATCCCTCCAGCAGGGTCCCCCAAGCTGAGAAGGAGTTCGGCGTTTCCAACAGGAAGCCCAGCTAAGAGTAGACCAACACCAGAATCCACCACCGTCCTGGTATGAAGCTTAGTCGCATGATGGCAAATCTCCCTCTGATCCACAAGAGCGGTGGCTGCATATGGTGGTGGCCATTTGGAGCAGACTTTGGCCCCCCCCCCCCCCCCTTTTT